TTACAATAAAGATATATTATTATCTTAATCTGCTTGTAAACAAATATATTCATATAACACTGGAGTTCTATCAGAATATATTACAAACATATAAGCACATTTCGGTGATAGAAATAATCAAATCAGTTATTTTAACAATTTTTCTATAGTAGAAATCAAGGTATTACCAATTATATCACGAATTTGTCACAATAAAAGTAAATAAATTAAAAAAACAATGCTATCGTCCATTGAACTCATTGACTTAAGCATCAACACGATCAAAATCTTTTTTTTGAACGCTGCATTTTATTTCAGTTAGAACTAGTAATCGAAACAGAGTTTTAGCTCTAAAAATAGAGCATATAGATACAAAGAAACAGAACACCTCGACAAAACCATAGATGACTAAATTGGGAGCTCAGCACGAATGATGTCCTCAGTCAAGTTGGTTCACCCGAAGCTACATAGGATTGGTACCTCTTCTCCGTGATGACACTTTTTTGCAAATAGGAAGGCCAACATGTTTGTCTTTCGGGTTTCTTTTTCCCACATCCAATCAGATATATCACGCAAAGCCTCCAACAGATCCCCGGATTGTCCACGCAGAGCTGGCCACACTTGTGGCTTTTCTATTGCACCAACCAGTTCAATTGCCTCCGTAGCCAATATCACACGGTATAAGTGATGGCTACACATGCTTTCAATCGTCCTTAGATGCACTTTGAGTTTGGCGTCCGACAAGCTGATGATGTTACTAAAATCTCTGCGGCTATGGAGCATTACTACACCACGATGATCCCATACAATCCATGCCGCACCACATTTCTGTTCCTCCTTGCTCCATTTTACACTAATGTTACATTTTAAGAAACCAGGACCGGGAGGTTTCCACTTCACAAACGGAGTTTGATATCTGTCATTTCCAATTCCTGCTTCACCATTCTCTTTCTGCAAAGTGAACCAGTGATTAGAATCTTCAGATATTTTGCCTGCTGTTTCCTCTGCAGAGAAGGATCTAGCTTCAAATAGGAAGGTAATTCGATTCTTCCAGATCTGCCACAGAATCCCTGGGAAGCTACAACGAACTTCCTACGGTATCTCTTGATTCTTCATGCACCGAAATAAGTAAGAAAATTTTACATATACTGATGCCTTGTCAAAGCCAATGCTGGGAAAAGGAAAATTTGACTGTGCCCAAACCAGCCTTGCTACCGTGCATTCAAAAAGCACATAACTATTGGACTCTCCATCAGCAACTCCTAATGCATATCTGCTTTCATTCCTATAGACATCAATCCATCATTAAGCGCTTTCCACATAAACAGTCTGATCTTTGGTGAAGTTTGTACCTCCCAGACTTAACTTCGTAATGGGCCTAGAGCGGGTTGCAGCATTGCCTCCTTCATAGCATCAGATGGATTCATCTTTTTCTACAGCCAATACCCCGACTTGACGGAGTATGCCCCATTCCTGTTGTAAGCAGCCCACTCAAAGGAATCATCTTGTCTCCAACCCGGTCTTTGTGAGATCACTTTTTCTACATCACCAGGGACAATGACCTCTTCCACCTTACCTCTATCCCATGTTTTTGTTTGGGGATTAATCAGATCACTAGCTTTGAGGTTCAGGTCCCAGAATAACTTTCTTCTATAGGGGGCACGCGGTTGGTCATCAAAAACCCTGTTATCCAGCCACATATTGATTGTCTCACCGTTCCCACTGATTTTGAGACTTTTTTCAAGAAGCTCTCTTCCATATAATATGCTCCGCCAAGTAAATGATGGTCTACTCCCCATCGTAGCTCCGAGAATATCCGAGTTAGGGTAGTATCGGCTTCTCATCACTCGAGAACATAGACTTTCCTGAAACATTAGAAGTCTCCAAGCTTGTTTTGCCAGCAATGCTTGGTTAAACATCTCAATATCCCTGAATCCCAAACCACCAAGCTCTTTATCCAAACACAGCTTTTCCCACAAGACCCAATGCAACTTTCTTTTGTCTTCCTGTGCGTTCCATCAAAAGCTAGACATAGCGCTGGTTAACTTTTGGCAAGTAGTCTTAGGTAATTTAGATACCGACATGGCAAACACAGGTATTGCCATTGCCACCGAATTTAGTAGAACTTCCTTGTCTCCCATAGATAGAAAACACCCATACCAACCGTGGAACCGAGATGTCCTATTGTCCTGAATATATTAGCTCATCTCCACCTTGGATCCGCTGAAACACTGAGACAGCCCTAAGTATTTGCCGGCTCCTCCTTCATTGGCAATGCCCAGCTTGTCTTGGATCAGCTTCCAAAGGTCAATGGCCACTTTATCCCCGAACATGACAGAAGAATTGTTAAAGTTGATCATCTATCCCGAGATTCTTTCATAGTCTTTCACTACCTCATATACAGTCTCACATTGATCTTCATGTGCTTTGCACATAATCAAGCAATCATCTGCAAACAACAAGTGGTGAACCCTTGGACCATTCTCAGCAAAGTGGATTCCTCTTAGCCGGTTGTATCTCTCCGCATTATTCATCAGAAATGTGAAGCCCTCCGTGCATATATCAAACAGAAAGGGGGAGAGAAGGTCTCCCTGTCTTAGTCCCCTCCCAGGTTTAATCATACATTGCGCCTTCCCATTGATCAAGACTGTATATGTCACAGATCGAACGCAATACATAAGTCATGAGATGAACTTAGCATGAAAACCCAAAGCAGAGAGGAGAGCTTGTAAGTAGTCCCATTGGATCCTGTCATATGCTTTTGACATGTCTGTCTTAATGGCCATATCTTCACAAGCAATTCGAGGGTGTGTTCGCAGAGCATGGACAGACTCATGAGCAATTATGATATTGTTTGATATCAACCGATCAGAGATGAAGGCAGATTGTGTTGGCGATACAATATCTTGTAGCCATGGTTGCATTCTTTTCACCAGAATTTTGATACGATCTTATAGATAACCGAGCATAGGCTGATCGGTCTCAAATATGTCATCATGGTTGACTTTGGAACTTTCGGGATCAGGCAGATTTGTGTATAGTTCCATTCCTTGGGAAATTCCCCTGTTTCAAAAAACTTATGCACCTCAGATGTTACTTGTTGTCCAAGTATGTCCCAATATTGCTGAAAAAACATACCATTCATGCCATCCACACCTGGGGCATTCGATGGATTAATTGAGAAAGCTGCTTCCTTTATATCCCTTTCTGTAACCTCCTTCACCAATGCTTCATTCATTTCAGTAGTTACACGAAGTTGAAAATTTTGAAAGAAGTCTCCAAGGTCTTTATTCCTTGATGTTTTGAACAGTGCTCTAAAGTAGGTGCTCGCTACTTCCCCCATAGAGCCAACAGAAGTGACTTTACAACCATTCTCATCTATCCTAAAATTGATCTGGTTCCTCTTTCTCTGGGCTTTTACCGAGGCGTGGAAAAACGTTGTATTACAATCACCACCTCTCAGCCATCTATCCCTACTTTTCTGTTTCCAAAACAACTCCTCCTCCCGATATGCCTTTGCTATCTCCAACTTTAGATCCTTCATGTACTCGAACCAGGGATAGAGAAAACAGTCCTCGACCTCCAAATCATGTTGAAGCTTCAATATACGGTCTATGGAGTTGCTTTTGTTTTCACGTTTCCACTTGCTTAGGGATTTACTACATTTTCCAAGTCTCTCCATTAAACTTAGAGGCACTACCTGATGAGTTCCCAGCCATGCTGATCGGATTGCCTCTTTCACCATTGGTTTACCGATTAATCTGCTGTCAAACTGGAATGAGCCTCAGTTGTTTTTTTGTCTATTCATAAGGTATACAAGCACAGGTTTGTGATCAGAACCCAATTTTTCCAAGAAAACCTGATTGGCCTGAGGGAACTCTTGCTTCCAGGCCTTGTTACCAAAGCAACGATCAAGTTTGATCTGTACCCAATGCTTGTGTCTAACTCCAGACCCGGTAAAACCATCACCAGCACTTAGCAGCTCATCCATTACACATGTCCGCAGCATCTCTGCAAAGTCTTGAAAAGAGTTATCACTCCGTTTGGGGCCACCCAATTTCTCTCCATTATGCAACATTTTGTTAAAGTCTCCAATCATACACCAAGCCTCCTTACGCTGAGACCCTATTCACATAAGTCTCTCCCACACATGATTCCGACCTTTAACTTCGGGGTCTCTATAGACAAAGGAGACAAAAAAAAACTCAAAAGCTCCAAACTGTACAAAGCAGTCGATGAGGTTTTGGTCAGCAAACTTCACCTCCACTACTACATTATTTAAAAAAAAAGAGAGCTAAACCTCCACTCCATCCTACAGGCTCCTATCATACCCCAACCATGCTTGAATATCCACTAACCCATTCCTACATCTTTTCGTTTCCATGAGAAATAACAGTTCAGGAAAATGTTTATCACGCATCTCCCTGAGACGGGGAATTGTCAGGTCTTGTGCCCGGCCCAAGTCCTGACAATTCCAGCTCAGAATGCTCATTGGAATCGCGGCAGTCCCTCTTTCAGGACCACCTCCAAACTGTTACACCTAGCGATTTTTTATACCTCTCGCTCTCCACAATCCGCCTTCCTCTTGGGAGACACACTGATCGTCTTCCCCGCCATTTCCATACCTTCAGTGTTACACTTTGTCTCTGTTTCTTGTGTCTTCTTTCTGCGACTCGTATTGGATCTCTTTCTGCTTACTTTTTTCTTGGAGGACGTACCAGATGAACTAGCATCCGAGCTCCCAACAGAGAAACCATTCGACACCGAACAAAATCAAGAGATTTCTGATGTGAAGTTTGCTGCATCTTTTCAGGGAGTAAAGTCACAGGGGCCACATCATGTCGAGCTGGTTTTGCTGCCTTAATGGCAGCTGACATCAACTTCTCTCCAACATTCTCTGAACCTTTTGATCTCTGTGAACCTTCTGATTCACGCATCTCATAAGTCGGACTTTTCCCTTTATCTAGCTCAGAGGTGATCACAGGTGGGGCTTCCAGGCGCAGCATTGATCACTGCCCCACCTAGTCATCCTTAAGGTCAAGAATGGATTGTTTCACACGCTCCTCACGGGCTTTGCACTCTGGTCCTTGCGCAGGCAGAAGATACAGCCGCATATCCTGCATAACTTCAGGTGAAATCCGTAGTCTTCCCGAGTATGGGTCAGGTCCCACTTGTTCCTTAGTTATGATACCTAACAGAGGGTCTGACTCTTTCAACACTGGTTCCGTGTTGCATTTAGCATTTAGGATACTCTGCCTTCTTGCATTAGCCTTGTCTTTAAGCATTTGGATCAACAATGGACACTTATCCTTTTCATGAGTCAATCTTTGGCAAGAGTAACACCACTATTGAATCCTCTCAAAGTCATACCAGACGGTTGTCGATCCTCCTTTCAGAAGATTTACAACCTTTGAGCGTCTGACCGGTCTAGACACATCGAAATTAACCTTGACACGCACGTAATCTTTGCTCTGTGGCTTTTCTGGATCAAAAGCTATCTCGATTACCTTTCATATGATATCTCTAAGCGCATAAATCGAGGCTTCAGTGTAGTACTTAACTAGGATGTTAAGGATCTGGATCCACACTGGCATGAATTACAGTAGTCATCCGGTGGATTTTTAACCCAACGGTCGATCACTATCGACCACTCATTGAAAGTCCAGACTCTTTTCTTCAGAACCTCTTCCAAGTCGTGTTCATACTTGAAAATAAACTGGAACCTTTCCTTCGACAGCTCCACTCCTCTTAAACGGTCATAGACTTGCCACTTCCTTGGCATGTCAAGTATCAGGTATGTCATATTTTGACATTCCGGATTAAGAGTTATGCCCATAATACTCATTTTGTTTCTTTCACTCGAGAAGAATTGAGGAAGGACAGGCAACGTGATCGACCACTCATTGAAAGTTCAGACTCTTTTCTTCAGAACCTCTTCCAAGTCGTGTTCATACTTGAAAATAATCTGTAACCTCTCCTTCGACAGCGCCACTCTTCTTCTTCTTCTTCAATAGATAGAGCGTTGAAAGCCATGTCACTTCCCAAGAAAACACACCAGATTATTTCTTTTGCTTTTAAGGTTCTTAGGTTGCCAAGGCGGCGCTTAAGAACAGAATAAAAATATAGCCAAAACCCTAAAAATAACAGGAATATTTCCAAAAGATTCACCAAATATATGTTATATCCGCCAAAAACCTTTAAACTTAAGAGGAAATAATCCAGCCAAAAAGCCCCACTTTTAAAAATAAAGACTCTAACTTTTAGAGAGAGTCCTGAGCTAAAAGGGAGAGTCAATTCTAACAAAAACTTGAATAAGATTCAACACGATCAAAATCAAACTCTTAGCACTGATGATGAGACCGCAAAATCAAATTTGTTTGAAAATAATAAATTGTTTGGCTACATTATCATTCTGAAACATATATATCATTAAAGCACTGACTCTGATTTTTTTTATACAAACTCTGACATGCCACAACTTGTTTGACTCATGTATGTGTGGCTGCAAAAACACATCAAGGGCCCGCTTCGGGTAATTTGGACCAGGAACTAAGATACTTAGAAACAAAAACTCCCTTTGCATGCACATATCTGGAGGAAGGTTATATGGCGTAAGGATCACAGGCCATAATAAATATTGCCTACCAGACATACCAAATGGACTAAACCCGTCAGTGCAAAGACCAAGATAAACATTTTGCTTAGATCTAGCAAAGTCTGGATGTACGGTGTTAAAATGTTTCCAAAATTTCCCGTCAGAAGGGTGAGTCATTTTGCCATCTGTTTGTGAATGTTCTGCATGCCATCTCATTGAGGCAGCTGTCTGTTCAGATTGATATAGTCTTTTTAACCTATCAGTTATAGGAAGATACCACATTCGTTGGTACGTAGTCTTCTTACGCCCAGCAATTTGCGGTCTATATCTTGGCTTTTGGCAGAAACAACATTCTTGAAGCTTCTCATCATCTCTACAAAAAAGCATACAATTATCAATACAAACATCAATCATCTCAGAAGGTAATCCAAGACTAAAACCAGCTTCTGAATATCATAATACGTTTAAGCAGCCAAATTATCATCAAGCAAATACTCTTTAATAAGATCTGCCCAATCCATGAAAACTTCAGATAAATTGTGATCAGTTTTTATTGTCATCATCCGAGCTGCTAATGATAATTTAGATAAACCTTCTCTACATCCGTCGTAAAGAGGCTGTTTTGTTGCGTTTATCATATCATAAAAGCGTTTCGCATCTGCATTGGGCTCCGCAGCAATCATATTCCGGACAGTCAATGTTATTGGCTTGAGCCAACTTTTTGATGAGGCCTCTTCCTTGTGCAATCGTCTTTTGTCCAAAATCTCCATTGCTGGCTGTATCTAGTGGAAGTCTGTACTTTGGTTGCAAACCTCTGTAGAATGTGCTCAGCAGGCTTGATCCAGGATATCCATGGTGGGGGCAGTCACATTCATACTCTTTAAAAGGCTCCCAGGCTTCATAGAAAGGTTCGGCCGGTCCTTGCTGGAAACTTGAGATCTTGGTTCTCCGTAAGTTCGACCTTGACTTAGTATATTAAGATTTCAACCAACGGTGAGCTTTATCTGCTAATAAAAAAGGGAACACCTTACACTTAAGATAATCTTCTGGAACTTGGTTCGTTCTCATCATGCTGCAGATTTCTTCAAAAAGCTCAATGTGATCCATTGGATGTTCGGAGGAATTCCATGGAACTGGTTTTGTTTCACCAAAGACATTATTTGAGGCTTGACTTCAAACTCATTCCGGTTCAGGAATGGTACTTGAATTGCAGATCGATTTTGAAATTCTGAGTGGGTGCATCAAAATCAGCTATGCGATAATTCCTGGCTTGTCTTCGGTGTTAATTTTCTTGTTGAACAAGACGGTTATTGCGTCCATTCGGCTGCATCTCCTGGTTGTTACCATCGGCTACATTGATAGGTGCATCAAGATCTTCACGTTCTTCTCTCTCTCAGTTCTGAGGAATTCTTGGAGGGATCTCATTCTCCTCTCCATCTTGTCGAGAATGATCACCTTCTCTGTGATCATTTTCTCAATTTTCACCATGTTCGGACCCATCCTTGTCCAAATTTAAGTTGCGGTTAACAGGATCTCCAGGCTGGTCGTCGTCGACCATTCCTTGCGTTCATCTAAGTCTTCGAAGTTCTCTTTCGTGTCTGTCTATCTCGTCTAGAATTGGAATATTTTTACAGGTCTGCGCCTGATATTCATGCAATTTTAGGTCGGATACTTAATGAAAACTTTTGTAACACTAACTATCTAGATCAGATACGACGTGATCAATCAAGCATACATGCATTAAGAATAAGAATAAACAGAGAACATAGTTAAAATCTCACATCTAAAAACTTAGATGTCGTAATCGATTATGAGAGCCCCTTTCGTGAACCCTATGCCCAACTCGGGATCTACTCAGCCATGGCTGAGGTCGACATCATCATTGGTTTTAATGAAAGGAATCAAAACAGTAAAGAAAAGAGATGAAAGAAAGCTTCTCTATTGATGTACTAAGAGTTGGAGAATCCTGTTAAAAAAATCACATAAAACGGCTAGAAAAAGGGTTTATGTAAAAGTTTGAAAAATTTTCTCTAAAAACGACCTAAATTACAAGTATTTATAGTCTTCAAGGGATCAAGGGATCACTCAAGAAGGAATAAACTTTAACAGAATGCTAAGGGTAAAAGGCAACTGGTGCATACAAGAGCAGAATCCCATCTACCCAATGCCCCATGAAGATCACATCCTAGCTACTCCTCTCTTAAAACATTCATTACCTTATCAACCCTCTCCTCACTTCACTCTCGTTCTTTTTCTCACCAGGGGATTCATCTTCTCAACCTTAAACTCGGGTTTTGGGGTCTGAATATTCCATTTAGCTCTTTCTCATACAACACCTTCTAGCCTCTTTTCTTTTGTTTTCAAACACTTGAGCCTTTTTGGCTTCTTTTCTTTCTTTTTACTTAGAGGCTAGACTTTCTTTTTCAAAACACAAGAGCTTTTCTTTCTTTACACAGCAGACCCCAAATCTCTTTCTTTTCTTTTTCAACCCCTGGTTTTCATCTCAAACTTCCTCTTTTCCACTCAGTGTTTCTCAAGAACTCTTCCTAGCCTACTCTAGACTCATGATGCTGAGCTAGATCTACATGAGACTCTACTCTTGTCGCCCTAAACCCAACACTTTCTGTCAAGTTTATTCAGAAAAAGGCCTCACATCTCTCACTATAGTGTTTCAGGCTTCAAGGAAGGTTTGGTTAAAGGCAGGGAACTGTTTCAAAGTGAGAGAACAGCTATTTGAGCTAGCAAAGAGTGGTAAAAGGGATAAGAGAGCTCAAATATTTTAAGGGTACCCATGAGTTCACAATGACATGCACAAGCAATGATAATTAGATTTTTGAATTAAGGATTTCACTTAGACTAGGCTGGACTAATCAAAGCTTGATTCACTCAACAAGTTCAAAGCATGGATCAGTCTTGATTTCATTCTTGTTTACATGCAACAAAGAACTAGAAACTAGGGCAGTGAACCGAATTCTTAAAGTTATATTCTCTCAAGGAAAAACCTATCATTACTCCCTTGCATTGATGCAGCCTACATGAATATGCAACTAGACTCAATCCTAAAAATGAGAATGCAACTACATGATCATTTTTTGTGAAAATTTTTCAAATTTTTCATTTTTTTTTTGTTTTTTTTATATGCACTTAGATGAAACTATATGAATGTATGCAAGAATGTGACTCAAGACTCAAAGTGTAAAATAAGAACAGAGAAAACATGATTAGTAAAAGATGAAACTCCTCCCCCCCACTTAAATAACACAGTCCCTTGTGTTATAAAAGCATGAGAAAGGAGTTAAAGCAAAGCAAACAAGTAAAATGCAAAGAGTAAAAGAAGATCTACATGCATATGTACAGAGTTTGGAGTGTTTACCTCAATCGCTGAGGTCTGATCCCAGGTAGTGGGATGGGTTGGAGGTAGAACATGATGGAGTTGAGTATCTCAGGTGAGTCTGGTAGGAACGCTGTGGCCGGGTTGACCCAGTCTTCTTTTCCTGGTGGGAACACAAGGTCATGAGCGGCTGAGCTTTCTCCCACTTCTTCTCTTGTATCTTGTTTGGGTGAGGCAGCTGGAGCTGTGAGTTTCTTCACCTTCTTCTTTAGTTGCCTAACACAGTCAACGAGCTTGTGGATCGTTTTGTCTTGCCATTTGCACCATTTTTGAAGGCTGTTAACTCGTGAATACAGCTTCCTTGTGTGATAATCAGGTTCACCCAAAAAATAAGGATCAAAATGGTACCGCCCTGCTCCCATCCTTCTGTCAAGATCTATTGGCTCCTCATTCTCACAACCGGTGGTCGTAGTTGTGCTCTGCTCTTCAACTGGCTCTTTACCCTTGGAACTTGCGGTCCTCTTGCATTTGCGAATTGGAGGGTTAATGGCTGGGTTCTTTACCAGAATTCGTTGAAGTAGAAGCCTTGGTTTTCTTTGGTGCAGCCACATTCTTTGCTTTCTTCTCAGCTGGATTCTTTGGCTTTCTCTGTTTCTTCTGTTTCTTGAAAACTTTATGCCCAAAAGGTATAATCTGATCCTCTAAAGCTCCAGCTTTCTCTTCTTTCGATTTCTCCATGGCCGCTGTTATTTTTGTTCCTCCCATCCTGCATTTTCTCAAACAGCTGTGAGCACCAAAGCAAGAGAACGACAAAAGTTTTCCAAAAATACACCAAGTTCAGGGGTGGTACAGATCGATTTCACTAGAATAGAATGTG